CCCCACCACCACCACCAATGGGCACGGCCGTCGAATCCCTCTCTCTACCTGATGCGCTTGACATTGAAATTGTTTGTCTCCCTCCAGTCGCCACGACGCACCAAGATCTGAATCGCCCTGCAAACACACACACACACACATACACCAAACACACACACACCCCCAATGAGACACACTTCTCTCTCTCTCTCTCTCTCTCTCTCTCTGTGTGTGTGTGTGTGTGGGTGTGTGTGTATGTGTGTGTCCACACCGTCTGACGAGTTTGTCCGGCACGTCCATCCTCTTGACGACGTCGGCGACGAGTGTGGTCCTCTGAGCGGTGCAGTCGATGGCCAGCCGGTTGTTGAGCGCCTCCTCTATGATCTGCAGCGTCCATCCACACACACAGAGACACAGAAAGGGATTCATCCGTGTGTGGTGTGTTTGTGTGGGGCGGGGTGTGTCACTCATTGTGTAGGTACCGACCGAAATCTGCTGCTGCTCCTGGTCGGTGAGGTTCTCTGTCTGCAAATTGGACTTGGCGGCCTCCATCGTGGCGTCGCGGAACAGCCTGACACGTACACCCAAGTGGAGTGGACGGAAGACACGACACACACACGGACACATTTCGTTAGTGTATTGTGTTGACGGACTGGCAAGGTTCTGTGGACTAGCTAGTCTGTCTTATCCTCCTCTATCTACTTGAGCGCGTCCTCTACGTGCTGCACGTTGGCCTCCTGCTGCAACTCCATCTTGGCCATCCTGCAAGCATGTCACATACACACACCCATCCCATGCTCACCTCACACACCTCTCCCTCTCTCTGTCTGTGCTGTGTGTGCAGTGCAGGGGTCACTTACGCCTCTGCGATCCGTATGATGGCCTCCAGTTGTCTGATAGTGATGGGGATGGTCTTGTCGCCGTTGGTGCCGCTCGCGCGCTGGTCTCTCACCTCCTTGCTGCATCCATCGACAGACACAGACACACGCATCAGCTGAGGGTGCGGGGTGGGGTGTGTGTATTCAGTCACCGGATGGCCACGAAGGCGTCCTCGAGGTGCTTGGCGCCCTCGTCGCTCAGACGGGGGGACACATAGCGCCTGACAGGACAGACAGGATAATGGGACGATGAGAGCAGTGGGTCCATGTGTGTGTGGGGGGTGGGTGTGTGTGGGTGTGTGGTGTGTCCGTTGTCGCGGTGGCTTTGGTTTGCGCACTTTGCATATGAGATGTATCGGCTGAGCTCCTCCGGCTGCAGGGGAGCCTCCACCTCGGCAGCACTGTCAGCTATGCCATGGACGCCCACAGACTACCACACACACACAGGGAGGGAGGGAGGGAGGGAGCTTGATTGGCTGAAGAGTCGTGCGTGTGTGTGTGCGTGAGCTATGGTTACGTGCAGCATGACTATGTGCTCGGCGAGCTTCTCGTCCTTCGCCTTGTTGCGCTCGTCGCGAATCAGGAAGATCAAATCAAACCTGGCCGACACAACCAGATCTGAGACACACCCGGGGAGACGCACCCACACCATCACCCTTTGCAGCCACCCTACCGAGAGAGTATGGTGGTCTGCAGGTCGATCTGCTCGGCGTTCTCGCGCGTCTCGTCATAGGTGCCGTACATCGGATTCGCCGCAGCCAACACAGCACACCTGACGGAGCCATCCATCCATCCATCAGTCCATGCCGCCATCAAGGTGTGTCTCTGTGCTGTGCCCGTGTTGTGTGTAAGTCAAGAAGGATGTGTGTGTGACCGCACCCACCGTGTGTTGAGGACGGTGGTGATGCCGGCCTTTGCGATAGAGATGGTCTGCTGCTCCATCGCCTCGTGGATGGCCACCCTGTCCTCGGCGCGCATCTTGTCGAGCTCGTCGATACACACCACACCGCCGTCCGCTAACACCATCGCACCGCCCTCCAAACTATAATATTTCCGTACGACACAGATCAACACACACGGCGAGAGAGAGAGAGAGAGATCCAGAGAGGCCATACATTACCTGAATCCCCTCTGCCCCTCCCGAATGATGGCGGCCGTCAGCCCGGCAGCAGACGAACCCTTTCCTGGATGCATCCATCCCGGCCAGGCATCATGTCGTGATACGGATGGATATGATGTCACGTCTCTCATGTGTCCCTCTCCCCCACCCGATGTGTAGACGGCTATGGGGGCGGCCTTCTCGACGTACTTGAGGAACTGCGACTTGGCCGTCCCGGGGTCACCCAGCAGCAACACGTTGATGTCGCTGATAGCAATCACACACACACACACACACAGAGAGAGAGAGAGAGAGATGAGTTCGAGTGGATGGATGGATGGATGGCGTGTGCGGGTGTGTGTGTACCCTCTGATGCGATTGTTGTCTGGCAGGAGTTTCCTGGCCCCTCCGAAGAGGAGGCAGCTCACGGCTTGTTTGATGGTGTCCATCCCGTAGAGAGCTGGCGCTACCGACCTGTGGGACCCCATATACACCACACACACACGACACACACACACATATATGGGGTGGGGCTCTCCTGTCGCCCGCCCTGGCATCTGCCCAGACTTGTAGATCTTGGTGCGGATGTCTGGGTCGGCCGCCAGCTGTGCAATCATGCCAGGCACACACATCCATCCATCCCTCCATCCATCCGTTCTCCGTCACTGCATAACAAACGATGATCTACCTGTTTGAAGTGTTCGATCTCCTCGTTTGAGAACTGCTGCGTCTGAGAGAAGCGCCCCCAGCCCTGGTCCTGGCTGCCGTAACCCAACACCCGCAGCACCGTCGAACGAACCATCCCTGTGGGCACACACACACGCACACACACACGGCGGGTGGTGGTGGTTGGGG